GCCACAGAATTGTTCGCTGCATTTTTTCCGTCTCAAGACTCAAAACCATGAGGAAACAAATTAGCAAGTGATCATGTTGTTCTCTGTGTGTGTGTCGGTGTTTTTTGAAAGGAACCACATGATGGGTGTCAAGAACCCAAGCAGCTTTGAAGAGTCTAAAGTCTTAAGTTGCATGTTTGAAAAAAGAAAGAACCACAACGCCAACCCATCTTGTATGTGCTTGGAAGGAAACCTGTCATTTTGTAGGGGCATGATATGGCATGAGGGGGGACGTGGGAATAGAAACACCACACAAATACTAAGTAGGACTTTGAACTCAAATTTTCTTTTTAGTACTTCTCTTGGGGTGTCTTCGGCTATATGACTATATGCGCAGGAAATAACAAAGCACCAAACCAAAGGGCAACCCATGAGAAGTGAAACTCTTCCCAAAGCTAAGTGGAACTCCAAAATCAGGCCCGGCCCTAGCTGTCCATGCTAGCTCAAATTTCAGCCCTATGTCCTCGGGATATGAATCCAGCCATGGCAGCTCTTCCTATGAGAGTTACCCCAGTAATGACTATGACTATGATTACGGTGGTAGCCCTTCTTCTGGTTCTGGGTCCTCTGATAGCAGTTCATCTGATGGTGAAGGCCTAGCAAACTTTCACACTGCGAAGAGGCAATTGTTCCTCAGAAGCACTTAGTAGTTTAATAAAGCCCTGGCACCCTCACCACCCTTTCCTTTTCTCTGCTCAAGGCATGACAAAGCCCTGCCGATTCCAAAGCTCCAGGGCCGCCACCGGCAACATCTTCAGGGCTGGGGTACAGACATGCGGCAGCGGGGTGGCCTTGGAATCGACTCATTATATATTAATGCCTTGCACGTTGGCAACAAGTGTCATAGATGGTGATAGGTTTTTTGATACTCAATAAGTGGCAAATTTTACCCAACAATTTGCAATCTCAGGAGTTGGGAAGGTCCTGGAGATGTTGCCTGTTCCTTTCACGCTCATGAGCGACTGTCTCTAGGCATCACAATGTAATTGTTGCATTTTGCTTCTGAGCCACTACAAGGAAACATGCGGATAGTCATTGTCCATGTCAAACATTTTCACTCAGCTCCAACCCCCTGTCAGAGTGACACTGTGATCTTGCCATTTTGAGGCTGCGGGGCCGAAGGATCACTATGGGCTTTGCAGGAACTTGCAGGGATCAACAAGGCTTGGCCTGAAGTATGACATTGTTAGGAAGAAGTTGTGGTAACCACCCTATCACCATCTTAACCTGCCCTTGCAAAGGTCAAGGTTGTTGCTGCAACGGACCGGGCATTGGCCACACTCAAGTTTATCCTTCGAAACGCTCCTCCCCAGAAGCTTCTTGTATTCATAAAAGTTGCACTATGGACCTTTTAATTAAAGTAGTTTCTGCGCTCCCATGCTCAGGTTGTTCACAGATATGGCTGGGAGGGACTACACTGGCCTTGCACCAATCCTTTACTCATGTGGATTCCCCTGCGCACCGTTTCTCAGAGCAGCTACTGCTGAAATCCTGTATACACGTGCCCAGCCAAAATCATAAGTTTGTGCCACGTGCACATTGATTTTAGGTATAGTCGTCTACGCACCAGCAGCCTCTACATGCAAGAGCGGGCTGCAAAACCCTTCTGGTCCACGCTGGATGCTTTGGCCAGGAGACAGCTTCGCCATCAAAGGTGGCATTAACAATTCCATAGTTTCAAGTCTGATTGGCTCAATGAAAAGCTGGATGTTTTTCCATGAGGGCAGAGCCACTGATTGGAGTGCTGGAAAACGTCTATGGCATTTTATCAGTCAAGGAGAAGGCCGACATTCCTTCACACATTGTTTAGGATTCAAGTTTCATCTATTTAGATTTTAGACCAGAAATCACACAAACCAGTTGTGGCTTCAACTTCGGTTTGATTCCATAGTGCTGGCTGGCCCTGGCACTCAGACGTGGGATGCGATGGCAGTTTTGCGCAAGAAGTACTTGATTGCCTTTGCAAAGATCAACAGCTCTCATCTCTGAGATCCAGCATCACGAAGACGAATATATATATATATCTCTCTCTCTCTTGATGATGCGAAGGCCTGTAATTCTTTTATTTTGCAGTAAGCAGAACAGGGTTAAAGACGAATCAGTTCAAATCAGAGTTCAGCAGCCAGCATGCATAGTAACCATCCAGAGTGTGCCAGGGATGTGGCACTCAAAAAGCTGAAAGACCACGAGGCGCTGGAACAGCACTGTGAATACTGTGAGAACTTATACATGAATCTTACAAGCAACGTTGCTCTTGGAATCTCTGCGCGCCTTGACTCCAACTTTGTTTGACCCCACGTCTTCTTTTTTGATGCCTTTCTCAGTTTCGAGACTCAAGACGCATAATAATCAATTGCAAGTTCATATGGTGGTAATTACTGTAACTAACTTTATTTTTGAAAAGGGCATCATTATCTTTACCACTGGTCCGTCCAGTTCGAAGCTCAGGTCCGAGCTGATG